AAAAGTAAGCCCCTAGTAAAGACAGTTACAGCTCTGTGGCTCTATGACCACGATGGTGTCTGAAGACTACTGATGACAGCAAAGACAGGGATTAAGGTCCCTGTGAACAAGAATGAGTAGAGAAAAAAATTGGGGCAGGAAGCATATTGTGGTGGTCATACTGAATCCCAAGGGGATATTATACAGTGTGGGACAACAGGTGTTATGAGGTACTAGGGAAGCTGTGACCGTCTGAAGGAAAGGCTATGAACAGAAGGACAGAGGAGCTGCCTTGCAGGACTCTACTTGGGAAAGAGCGATAAAACGATCTCGTACTGAGACAGAACTCCACATCCGCTTCCCAGACTTTACTGAGGTAAATGATGGTTATTTGAGTCAATGTGTACCAGAGACGAGGCAGTATTATTATTCGAGGTGCTGTTCACAGGAAACAGCACCCTTCTGGAAAACAAAGGACTGCTGAGTTTTGTGAGTATTTGGCTGAGTTTCCTATGTGAGAAATTGGATTCTGGAGTAAAGAAGCCAAACATACACTGGGAAGGTGTGATACCCAGACAACACCTTCCTTAGCAGAGCACTTGCCCTCACTGACCTTGAAGGCTGATGGACTTGAAGCCATGTCCAAGGGGACAGCCTGTATCAGGACATACACTGGTGAACTTGGAGTTTTAGGAAACAGCAACAAATTTCTGGACGTGGCATATCAGGTTTCCTAACTCTGATCAGTAAGACTCCAGAAGTGGATGACAGAACTTGGCTGTCATCAAAAGAAGCCTGACCTTGAGGAATACTGTGAGATCTCTACATCTAATGCCCTGAAAGAGCTTATGCACAGTTGTTTCCTATGCAAATTTAAATAAAAATTGGGCTTCTGACTGAAACCCACATCATCTGTGTAACAGATGTGTGCATGTCCAAGGGCAAAGCTCTTGAATGTGAGAATCTCATTTAGGAGAACTCTTCTAACTAGATTTGATAAAGAGATTTCAAATCAATGTTGCATTAGTCCACAAAAGAAATGATCACATATGACTTGGAAGTCACAGCAAGAGCTTGACATAGGAACCTCACAACAGAACTGCAATCACTGTAAATGGTAACAGGTTAAACTGAGTTGCTTGAAGTAGAACGATGACAGTTTTCAGGAGCTTTAAATTACTTTTAAATTACTTTTCAGCTTTAAATTACTTTTAAAATTACGTGGTTCTCAAAAATGACCCTTTAATCTGCTTTGCTTTAAGCAAGAAAGCAAACATCTTAATTTGAAGTTTATTCTCTTCTTTAAAGTTAAATAAATCACACTGCAAAACAATTGCTAGATATGTAGTTAATGACTACTTTAAATGCCTCACATCTGGATACATGCATGCCAAGTTAATAACCCACCTCACTAAGTTAGTGCCACATGTACCATTACCTAATTTGTCAGTTAGCATTTTCTAAAATTTTTTCTTGTGATTCTGAGTTTTTATTTTTACTCCCTATAACTACTCAGCATTGATTGTAATTGCAGTAATATATATGGCCTCAAAAGAAGACAGGCTCTACTTTACTAAACATTTAAAACATACAAGAAACAGTTAATAATCAAAGAGTTTATGTTAGAGAAGAAGGATAGGAAAAGGAAATGAGCAATAAGGAGGCAAATGTCACGTTAAGAAGTGTAATTTTTTTTATATATTATGCTTGTGAGCATACATTTTTTGGTTTTGGAATAGAAAGAAGTCAAAGGGAAACTTAAAAAAAACATAAAAAAGCATAATAGCAATCCTCACTTCTGCTCTCTTCTCACTAGACTAAGCATTTGGAGTTTGCTTTGGTAGGCAGGAATATTTTAAAGGCAACTGTGCCCTTTCTGATGGTCAAATTACTGCTGAAAACCTTCCATCTTCAACTTCCCTTTAAAGTTTTAATGAAAGAATGAAAAAGAACATTTCTGATGTTTGTTTTTCCAAGTAAGACTTTTTTTTTTATCTTGTGTCATAACAGAAACTTTGGGATACATGTAGTTTTTCTTCCCAGAGTTTTGTTTTCAGCCCACTTCTGGAATATTGGGGGAAAAAACAACAAAAAAACCTAGGAATGCAACACTCGTAACTATTTCCAAGAAATGAATAAAATCCCTTTTGTTTTATTTCACAGCAAAATCTATCAGGTTTTTGGAAAGTATATATGTTTTACCAATTTTCCATTGCCATTAAAAAAAAAAAAGTATATGTTAGTATGACTGAAATAAGAAAACGAACAAATATATGTAAAGTATGTCACCTAGCCTGAGCCTCAGACTAGAGTTCTTATTCTAGCAATAATTCTAAAATATATATATACACTAATATTTATTACTGACCTGAGGGCAAATTCAACCGAGATTATGCTTCTCAGAGAAAAAGAAGCATGTCCTGAAGCAAATGCACTACTTACCTGAGTATGCTGTAAAATCTAAAGAGATTTGTTTTCTTCCGAGTCATGTTAATTCAGTCCACAGACTTCCACCCTGCTTTCTCTAGCTCATGTATCACCTGAATTCATTATAGTAATACCTGTTTTGTGATCCACTTAAAGCTTTCTATTACCAGAGTTTGGCTGCGCGTAAAAATTTGACTACGATGGTCCTATCTCTCATTAGACAACCTCAAGCATTCTGTCCTTGGAATATTTGTATTTCTCTTCCTGATTTTTTACATGCATAAAAAAAACCCTGCCAAACACAGGCAGTAACCACCTGCTGTGCTATTGCAAACTAATAGCAATACAACAAAGCTAAAAGGCAGGAAAAAATGATGAGTCAAAAATGCCTAGTAGAAATAATCAGGCAGACACAGACAACAGCTATGAATATGGTAAAAGCTTCAAAACGAGAACAGATGAATAGATTAGGATTGCCTCTATTAACACTCCCACAGCATGCTCTTAAATTGGAAAACAGAGAAGGTAACTGCTATGACATAAAATCTAGTACCCGGATACTGCTGGCACACAGGCAGTACACTTTCTTTCCTGAGCCTTATAAGAACAATGTTTTTTTATTTTTCCTCCTTTCCTCCCACTGAAAAACTGTTCTGAACACAAAGAACCACAGCATAGTTGAAAGGGCTTTCTGAGACAGCATCTAGTCCATGCTACGCTTCTGACGGCTCAAAATTTGCTTTTCATTTCAAGATGAAATGAAGCCCAATACTTTCAGTCTCCTCTTAAATGACAGTTCTCCGTTCCTCTGTCTACCTGTTTTTCTTTCCCACTTTTTACGAACACAGTCTTGGCGATACAGACCACAGACTGAACCATACCACTACAGAAGACCTATGGCAGCTCCAGCGCTTATGAACGTACTACGAAAGCTTCCCAGAATATATCCTTACTGAAGGTAAATAAGAGAGCCAGCGAACGTCCTTTAAGATTAATGCTATTACCTAATGGTCGCAAAAGAGAACGTTTTAAGTCCTTGTGTCTATTCTCAGATACGCCTTTAATTTATTTGGCGAAAGTTGGGCTCATATAACATTTCTACATCTTTTACTACAGATCCCAAATCCAACAGACAGGGTGGAATGCTACTGCTTCCACTGCAGTTTTTCCTGAGATTAATTAGCTTTCCAATTGCTGCAAGATCCTCAGAGGAAAAGGTTTTAAAGACAAATTAAACTCGGTAAACATCTTTCACTACATATTAATCAAACTTTAGTATTTCCTTACTACACATAGTAAAGATAGGAAATTAATAGTAACAAGGCACAGTAATTTCTCCTTTATTCACTGTGGTAAAAATCCATCATTCGAATTATTTTGAAGGATACATCCCTGTAACAATAAAAAGGAAAAATGGTGTTCAAGCAGAAGAACCTCTGAGGAATAAATTATATCCAGGCTTTATATAACTGTCCTTCCCCTTTTGATATTACTGCCCTATATATATATTTCACCCATTTGACAATTATGAGACGGCAGGAAAATATTTCAAATTAGTAAAACAAACTCTAAGAAAAATAATGAACCCAACACAGTAATTCTTATCAAAGCATTCCAGGTACACTTATCCACAAAGTCCTTCTATGACTGCAAAACTTTTGACCCAAGAGAGGTAGCTTTTAGGTTCAAACTCATTTAAGTTTAATAAGCAAAACACCAACTTCCTACCCGAGTCCTCTTTCTTGCAAGAAGAGCAGGGTTTATAGTGGGTTTCTACTGACTTCTGGTTTGGTTTGTTTCTACTGGTACACAAGTATTAGGCAAGACTCCAAAACTAAATTTATTGAAACCATCAAAGGAAAAGTTTTCCAAATAATCCCAAAACATTTGGATTACCTTGCTGCAATGATTGGCTTTGATACTATGGGAGCAGCAGGAGCATATAGCTGGGAACAGCAGGAGAGACGAGAAAGAGCAGGATCATCCTTTTCAGTGGCAACCCACCATTAGACTCACATCGGTTGTAACATCAAACGAGACTTAAAGGCGCATCTTCTGATACTCACCCACACTTGCTAAGACTATCCCTCATCTTCATTATCCTGCAACAACCTCCTTTCCTCTGGCTTAGATAGTGTTGCCCCACTCAAGAATACTTACACAAAGTGTTTTTTCCCAGTGTACTATCACTAATCAAATTTCCAGCTCTTCCTCATGGCTCCACATAATCTTTCTTCCTCTATTGTCTCATTTTATGTTAGATTTGAATCTTACAGCTTACTGTGCTTTCCAGGACTTTACACACGGTAGCCCTGGGCTCATAGCAATGGTTCCTATGTATCATGGTGATAAAATAATAAATACCATCAACATGTCAATGACATATCTGCATCTACACCAACTTTGCCTCAGGAAGCCTGCTTTCAGGAGGTTACTGTACAAAAGCTGAATGGGGTCACCTTCCGACTGATGACCTGTATGAACGCCAGCACACAGGAGCACCGCAGATACAAATACCCTCCGAGGAATCACGTTAGCGGTGGGGCATACGAGAATAGGCACATTTGCTGAAGGCAAAGCAGAGGGTTACTTACCACGCTACAGCCAGGACAGTCGGGACCATTTTCACATGTCCTACGCCTAGCCTGAATGCCTCCTCCACACTGAGCAGTGCAGCGCTCCCACGGACCCCAGCCTGTCCAAAACACATGAGGAGGGCACAACAAATGCTCATTGCAGTACCTGTGAGGAGAGGCAACCAAGGAGGGAAAAAAAATCCGTTTAGTACCAAAAAGACTCCTCTCCCAAAAGTCCCTCTTTTGCGTTATTCAGACAGATGTTCACGCACGGAAATATTTTATTCAAAGGGCCCCTCCCTATTTTTAAAGCACTGAACTAACAGCTCTCTCACTGCACAGAGCGTTTAAACATTGGAGATTATTATTTTAGGCCAAAACGGGGGTGAAGGGGTGAAACATTTGTTTGCGTTGTTCAGTGCCTTTCTGCAATCTATGAGAGACAACCACAGTATTGCAAATGTAAGCAAGGTTGACAACTATTTCAATAACAAAGAAAAGTAGCGTCGCTCTATCTTGGGGGAGGACTGACTCAACTAACTGAAAGGAAACCATTTATGCAGGCACTCTTTTATCAGTCTCTAGCTAAGCCTTGGTTAGCATCCATTTCTCTCCTCTTCAGAAACTTGAAATTGCTTTTTTGCCTTCCGCAATATCTCCAATTTTATGGGTAAAATAAAAGCTAAAACATTGACTCTAGGTATAAAGAACTGTACTATTTTGATGGTACTTTATCTCTTAAAGGCTGTTTTTAGTTATTGAAACCCTTAAGGGATTTCCCAGTGTGCTGCACACTGATCCAGAGGCCTACCAGCTTCTTGAGGGAAGAATGAATTTTTTACTGCTGAGCTGTTATTATTGTAACAAGACATTCAGCTGGGTGGGATGGTCCCAACTATTAGTGAGTTTTCTCACCTAAGACTCCCAATTTTTTGAGCTTGTCATCTAGTAAAAGCTAGTAAAATAAGTGCATCATGTGCCGCTTGGTAAAGACTCTCTCCACAGGTCCAAAAGATTTGGGCCACCAGAAAGCGCGACTGAGTATCTTAAAGAGACTAAGTTCTTATTCAGGATAAATTAAAGCCATGACAGATGTTCAGAAAACAGGACTGTTCTGATCTTTTATGGAAGTCACTGAGTTGTCTCTTGCTCCTACTACTTCTGACTGTCCTGAACAAACAGATCAACCTGTTGCAATACTTCCTGGTACATGGGCTCTTCAAAATCCACTGGCTTCTTGCCTTTTTAGCAAGTTTCCACCACTTTGTACTCTCTTGCAATGAAAACTTATTTTAACACTTAAATAATTTATTTTCTACACAAATAGAAACAATGACAGTATCTACTGTTACTATATTCAACACGAATAACCATAACCACATTTTCTGCAGAAAACCCCATGATCCTCAAGGTCTAATTCTTCTAATTCTGAAGATGCAGAGGAGTGTTCTGTGATCAGATAGTCTTCCCCCAAAATTCAGACAGCTGCACATACAGTCTGGGTCACATGCACTCATTAATGAGAGTATTTGCCAAAGCTTTTCTCTGTGATCATCTGTTGGGAATGTTTGCCCAGGGAGACATAGATACAATTATCACCATTCATTTATTCACCTGAGTACCTATTTTGCAGAACTTACTAGTTTTTAATGCACATGTGCTAAGTTAGTTTGGGACACACACAGGATGAGGAAAGTCTTTGTTGTGAAGTTGGCAATTACTGACACACGGCCACAAAAAAAGTATAACTACCGGAAGGGCTCATCTCACCTGAATACAGATGTGTACAGTGTAGATGTCTATAAATAAAGTTGTCATCTAAACTTGAGCAACAGTCAGTGGAAAGGAAGTCTTTTTAAAAACATCATTCATGCTACCCTAGAGTACGTGTCTAATGTAACTTCTACAAATCAAGCCCTCATTGCACCGCTTTCTCTCCATTGACTATAAAGGCAGGCTAGACAGAGAAGCCTGATGTAGTGGTGGAATTAATTTCATCCAACTTTCAGTGCCTGCATGGGAGGCAGTGGGAGACAGGTGTCTAAGCTCCCATTATAGTCAATGGAGACTTCGTCAATACAAGCAAAGGAGGCTAGAATTACTAAGTTCGACCAAATGTAGGAATCTACAGCAAAATGAGACAAAATACTCTCTGTTCTCCAATGCCCATATTGACTAGATTTCTACAGGCTGCAGTGGGAGTTCAGACATCTCACTCACAGATAAACACTTACACTGTGGACACCTGAAGTTAGGTGTCTCTACTTCTGTACAGTGCCTCTCTTAATGCCAGTGTGCCATATCACCTGCTCTGTCACGTAAGCAGGAGACAGAAAAGAAACCGAACAATTGACACAGTAAGCACTTCAAAGGTTGGCAGTCTCCAAATTCTGCTAAGCAAGACTATTTAAAGATACAGATGAAGCTACAAAATGAAACTGAAAAACACCTAAAATGCCCATGCAATCTGCTTAACTTCCATTTAGGGGGAAAAAAATCAGCAGAGCTGAGTGTTCTCTCTCTTTTTTTTTTTTTTTTTTTTGAAAAAAAAAAATATCAAGGCATACAAGTGCAATCTTATTTTCATTTCAGCCAGCCGACTTCTGAAAACATCAGGTATGCTTTTATAGTTAGACACACCCCTGCAATTGGTCTTTGAGAGCTTTACTACAGTAAGGGTTTTTGAGCCAAGTTTTATTATGTCTCTTCCTGGCTGCATTTCAAGTCACTCAGTAACCCCTTTCTCCCATTTGCACTTTTGCTCTTTCTTCCCTGCTTAAATTTGTTCTCAGGACCCACAGGGCTAACAGTTTACAGTAATTCAGCAAAACACGCAGTATAAAAAATTTGGATCTGTGAAACCACTGCCCTCTCCCCTAATCTCATCTCTAACTGTGATGAGGTCAGAAGGGAGAACAGCTGAGAAAAATGTGAGTTTGGTACAGTGACCTTTCCCTCTCCCCTTACAGTGAATCCAAGTTCAAATGCCCTAAATAAATGCATTGTCATACTGGGGAGAGGGAGAGCGTCCTCTATCCAGATCTGATTAGTAACCAGTACTTCATAGAGTGATTTTTAATTTTTACTCCAGCAATTCCAGTACAACTGGAACTGCTGTTCTTGTTCCTATGAAGATCTAATCCTTTAATAATGTTTTAGTTTATTTCAATCTTGTCATGCAGCACTGAGTATCACAGGTTAATTGCACGCCAGTTACAAATGTGTTTTTTTAATTTTCCAAAGAGATGCTGTTTTATTTAATCACATAATTCTTAAATTTCAATGCTATTGTGCTAGACTGTATCTAAGAAAAATAAACTAACCTCTATCACTCTCTGCCCGTTCCTATGAGATACTTTTTTGTGGCAGGTACTAGTGATCACCAGCTGTTGGTTTACTTGGTTTACTGGGAAGGAAGTCTATACTAAAGTTGAAGTTAGGATTGCTGGATTCCCTTTATTCAATACAGACCTATGATGCAAAGAGACGCCCTTCAGGAAGGAGACTGCTAAAACAACAGAAATCTCTGCCTAGGAGTCTGTGGCACGTGGATCAGGGCTGGGGTGTGTGTTCTTGCGGATTTCTATAGAGCCGGAGGGAGCAAAGAAACCGAGGAACATGAGAGCCCACATTTCCCGGCAAGCTGTTGGCAGAAATGGCAGCGATGGAACCATGAGCAAACCAAAAGCCTCATGGTGTTTGATCTGCTCTGCCAAAGGAGACAACATTTTGTGTGTGCTGATCAAAAACTAACAGTACTACACAGAAAAGACAGTTTACTCAACAGTTTCTCCTTATCATGGAAGCAAGCCGCAAAGAAGAACTAAAAATAAAGAGAGGACACCATAAACTACATAAACCAAAACTTGGGGAGTTTTCCAGCAGCCTCAGGGAATATTCCACCCACAGGAAAAACTATAAATTTGTATGTCCCTAAGGAATATCAGGATGTCTTCCATCCTGAGTTTCAACGACAATTATATTTCTTCTGATAAACAAATTTTATTAAAATACTACTTTTACTCTCTTTCCATATTCTGTCTCAACACACAGGACATCAGCTGCACTTTTGACCTATTTCTACAGCAAAAATTGGCTGTGTATCCTAGTCTTTGCAGTTATCTCCTAACTATTTTCCATTCCCCCCGTTAGCAACAGAGCATTCAACAGCTTAACCTGTCTGCACGACCTTAAATTGGCAACTATTTCCATTAATTTCAAGGGAATGACTAGCAAGCACAAAGCTGCTTGATACCCAAGACGTTGTAGGAGCGTGGCTTTCATGAAGTAAATAAATATAATCTTGTCAAACGTTTAGCTCTTAATGCATGGACAAATACTCTGAAACTGAATATTCGTTGCCATTTGTAGGAGAATTTGCTTCAGCCATATGCTGCCCCCTTTGTGTTCACCTTCTACAGCATGATACAACGGAGCTGCACTGAAACCAATGCTCATTGGAAAGCTGTTCAAAGCTAGGCACGGTGGTGATTCTCGGACAGATTTCTGTATTTACACTCCTGAATACGGCAGGCTGACATGAATATGCACTTTTATAAAGACATAGGCACACAATGTGTAAACTACCTAATTCTATTTTTTACTAAGACCGTACCTATACTGACTTCACACATGGGCTGGGCCATAAAGGAACTAAGAAGTTAAGCTATTTATGAACTTTCATTAATTTCAACGAAATCTGAAAACCTGCTTACAAGTACTTTAGATGCAGCAAACAAGCTAAACATGTCTTACGAATTACTGCATGCGGACTATTTGATCAGCCATCCTAAATATACTGGGCCCAATTCTCAAATGCACAGTCTTCATTTGACGCAGGTTTAACTCCACTGGTACTTGAGTGAAGCAGTGAACTAGGACTTTCATAAAGCTGATACGCCTCACTGCTCTCACAGCTCAAAACTCTCTACAAGGCAAGAAAAATACCTTTACTTTTACAAATCTTACACTGACTTGTCCTTAGGACTATGGCTCCTTAGAGCTGCAAAATGATTTACTCCACTACTTGGCCTGACACTGACAAAATCCTGGGAATTAACTGCTAGGATGCCCCGTTCCTCTGAAAGAGAAGCCTTACAAATGATATGGCAAACTTTTCTAACATACCGCACCTTCTTGAATTAAATTACATACACCCTTTTAAAAGTATCAGTATACTTCACCAGTAACCTAAACAAAACCAGGGCAGAGGTAGGAAGGTCAGCTGTGACCGAGGTACTGAGCTGGAGGAGGCCGGATACGGAGATGCAATGTCAGCGAGAGCTGAGGGTGTTTCAAGGAGAGAGGAGCCCTGAAAGACCAAGGGTGCTCTGGAATAAACTCACAGGCACGTACATCCCAGGCTGCTGCTCAGCTGAACGAGGAGCAAAAGGACAAGCAACCTGCAGGCTACAAAGGCAAGAGTAGCTGCTTAAGCTGCTTCTTTCTTCAGTGCTGCTACATACCAAAATTCAATCTAAGTTATTACTGTTCCAACTCATTGTATCACTTTACATTATGTAACTGCTTTTTTAGTGCATCCATTTGCTTAATAGCAGACATTTTCTCTCTTACAGTCGCCTAAGCATTTATGTTTTCTGCATCTCTCTTAATCTCCTTACTGGACTTTTATTCCATGTTAAGATGAACAATAATTACTAACATTCATACTCCATCACCAAAATGTCTATTCAAACAAAACTCTTTTCTTCTCTACTTGCTCGTACTGCGTCTTGCCCCGGACTGACCTCTCACTTCAAGGAAATCAGTAACTGTTATTCATGCCGGACAGAGTTATGCAACTCTAGTAATTCTACATTTGGTGGCGACAGCTTTTTCGTTGAGCAACCTATTTTCAGAAAGTGATTTACAGAAGAACAAAATGCTCCCCTCTGTGATGAAATAGTAGTAAATATTCATGGCTCTGAAACAGCAAGAAGTGTTCACATGCGCTGTGATACTGATCCTTTACACGGAGAGCTGGAGAGACAGGGTCCTGTCAGTGATCTTTTGTTGATGCAGAAAACATGTGATGCAACTTCCCTTCATTGGAATCTCTTCATCTAAAAAAACGGTAGAGCTGATGTATAGTTAATCCCTCACTAAAACTCATCGTAAAGGTTACCGGATCTTGCTTTTACCTGACTGCAATATAGGATGCTAAATTATTCCTTCTCCTTTGGTTGTGTGAAAGTATTTTACAGAAACACTGAAGTAAGCTACAAGTGTACAACTTACCCTCATACACCTCTTGGAACGATAGCTACAATACTCCAGATGCTAACACTAACACCAGTCTTCTGCTATCTAGCTTTTTGGCATGCCTCGGGAAACAAGATAACACATATAAGAATTGTAGCTTGTCTGGATATATTTTAGTTTGGTTTAAAGAAATGTTTAATTCCTGTTAAAATTTCTGGCAAATAACTTACGAATTGGAGATTTTAGGACGTGTGGCGAATGGGATCAGAAACTCAAGTTTTACATTCTGAGCTAGGGACAGAATGCCCAGTCCTATGCAAAGCAGTAGACTGTGAAATCAAAATCTGCGTTAGATGCCTGTCTTGATCTGCTGAGGGGTTAATATATATACAAACAACATAAGCGATCCTGAAACCTTACCAAAACATTTTTGAGTCCAGGATGCATTATTTTTACTGAATATAAAACAAACTTGAAACCGGAAACTCCCCCATGTTATATAGATGCTTAATTCATTTAAGACAGGAAAAATTAACTCAAAGCATCAGTATCGTAGTGCTGTGACCTTACTACATTTTGCCATGAATTCTAGGTCTTCAGACCGGGCAAGATACAATTCAAACACACTGCAATCAATGTTCCAGGAAAATCAATTTTCAGGGTCTCAAGGGGCAGCAAAGAGGATTGCTTCAGCACAATGCTCTGGCACCACCAGGAGCTCAGCTGGCTTGGGAAGGACGCAGCTAAGTGAAAGATGAAGGAACTGCTGCAGACCCCCATCCTTGCTAATGGGAATACTGCTAGGGAATACTGCTATAGGTGCAATTAAACAGAGAGACAGAGAGAGACAAAAAGAGAGGGGAAGAAAAAAACCAAGGCAGGTAAAGGAGAAAATGTCCTGTGGAATACAGTTGAGCAGAAGAAATTAAAACAAATGATAGAGAAAAGATAACTCACCTCTCCTCGCGATTCTGTCCCACGCAGACACGTCCTCCGTGTCGAGGGGTTGGATTGCTGCAGGAGCGCTGACGAACTTGAAAGCCTATTCCACAAGTGGTACTACAAGGTGACCAAGAAGTCCATGGTGTCCAGCCTCCATTTCTGGTAGAATAAAAAGCTCAGGCTCTGTCATCTGTTATACATAGCGAATGGCTGATTAGGTGTGACTGACAACAGAATCTGCCCATTCACATTTCCGTAGAAATCATTTATAATGTATGATGTTCCATTTCTTAAAGAACACGGAGCTAAAATAAAGGTGCTCTGATCCTTCCATACTCCACGTTTTGTAATGAGCAGCTGCTAAACAGACCCCATTACGCAAGAAGTAAAATACAAAGCCCAGAGATATGAAGCTATTCAGTTTCTTTCAGTCAGTTTATTCCGGGTAAAGCTGATCTTCAAATTCCTGTACCAAAGTTCTGAAGACAACTGTCAATTATGTATTTAACCTAATTATTATTCATAGCTCTTTTTTACAGGGAGATCATAATGTCAAGTTTTGCTCCCTCTTCTGAAAGGAAAGTGATTAGAAAAAGGAAAAAAGTTTCAAGAGAAGTAAGTGTCAAGATGTATTAGGTCACAGTTTCAACAGGATACTTCCAGTACAAAAGTATTGGACAAAAAGTTTCAAAAGGAATTTCATACCCTGTCCTAGGCAAAAAATAGTGAACTTCAGCAATTTCCAGAACTTTTCAATAGCTAGCCTGCAGTTTTTGTACTGATGATAAACCAGAAAAATCAAGAAAAATAATCATGAGTTCTTGAACTTTCATCATAAAAGCAGAAATTAAAATAATTTCTTACTTGGTTTTGAAATCCCTTTATTTTTTAAGAACGAAAACTAACTAGATTCAATAATAAAGAAGACGTAAGTCTGTTTCAATAATTTCTCATAAATACCACTGGTTTATATTTCACTGATCTTGATGTACTGTTATTATAAGGGATATAAAAGTTGATAATGCGGAAAACAGCTTGTGAAAAAAGTCAGATATCACTGCTAATACATTTAGACAAAGAATAAGATCTTTGTCAGTGGAATGGCTGGCCCAAGTGGTAAAATGAGCATGACATCTGGGTATCCATGAATTCTGAGAATCAATAACTAATACAGGAGCGTTTAAAGAAGTAAGATGTTAAAACATCAGCGTGGTACTGGCAACAGCAGCACGACTCAAGTCCCAAATCATGTTCCCTTCTAAGCCTGACAGCCAGTAACTATTGCTTGATTGTTCAGTATCACACAGCATCCTTATCTTATTTCACACAGCATCCTTCTCTTATTTTCTACCATTCTCCTGACCCGATGTAAATACTATACTGTTATGTTTCTAATAATTATCCTAAGATTTACTATTTTAACTTACAGGGCTTGCAGTTATCTTGTGATGAAGGATAATCAGTTTTATTCACTACAAAATAGCATCAAGTGCTTCTGATGTTTTAAAAAAAAGCAGAGACAAGAAGCCAAAAGGAACCTCTGAAAATAAGCAGAATGGACCAGTACGTAAGTTTTTTATTGTGATTTAAATACGTATAATGTTTTAAATATGAACTCCAAATGAAACTGTGTTGCTTTTTTCACAATCACCAGGCGTCAGCTCAAAGCTACCGAGCCAATAACCCCTGCATTTGCCAAACCAGTTTAGAATAAACAGTGTTCTTCGGAGTCCCTACAAAAAAACCTGTTCTCTTTTTTTCTGGGAGTAGTTCTGTGTAAGAGGAAGACAAAGAGGTATCTGAGCTCAGAGTGGCATACAAACTGGTAATAGATCTAGATGTTATGATACTACCAAATGACAAAATGAAAACATCTTCTCCAAGGCAGACAGAGGACTACGCTGGTGACATGAAGCAAACAAAAAGGTAAACAGTTATAACTTTCAGAAAGAAAAGTGTGTAACTTACAGAACTCACAGGACATTTCACTTTTTTCCTGATTACCCTGCCCAGAAGTCACTGGATGAGAAAAAGTGTCATACTTTAGATTTTACCTAACGCTGATCTTTTTCTCTCCTGGCTTTTATTAAAATTAATTGAGGACAATGTAATATGGTCCACAGCATTTGAAATCACTGCCATTTGGCTCATTCTCTCTCCCGCCAAGCTTGAGAACTAGATGCTAACCCACCCTCTGTGGCCATGGCTAGGAGTTGTTACCTGTACAGAACACGGTCCATGAGATTTTGAAGGGTAGATTCTATTCTGCGTAAGTCAAAACTTTTAGAAACTTAAACACTAAACCCCGAAATTGCTTTGTGTATACCTGGAACAGTTGGCAATTTCCATGCTTGGTCCTTCACACAGCCAACCTCCACACTGAGGAGCCGGGCTGTCACACAGACGAGTCCTGCAGAGGCAGGAGCCAACGCTGCCACCATCAGTGTGGGTGCAAGGTTTCCACTGTGACCATGTCCCGAAACTCCCATCCACAGTCAGGTTCCTGGTCTAGAAACAAACAGAACAGAAAAATGTCTCTGAGGCTCGACAGGTTCTTCATACAACCCTTTAATTCTACAGTATGCTCAGGTGCAGCCTTCAGCCACCACCAATAAAAGCCTCCACGGGAGAGGTATGCCTTCAGTCAGCTCCCCTGGTCGTAATTTCGGCAGCTGTATGATCTCCAGCATCCACCTCACAACCTCCAATTGATATGGGCCACGGGACACCTCCACTGTAGCAATAAAAATAATTACAACTAATCATTACCTTCAGTAACCATGCCTGCCTAGAGTAATTCAATAGAAAAGATAGCTTCACTTTCTCAGTTATCTTCTGACAACAGTATTCTGTATTTCCTCAAATTTGCCTGTGATTAGGAATCTGGGAACTGATTGTAAGATAGCATGTGCAAGAACGCTTCCAGAAACCTGGATGTAGACTAAAAGGAAGAGACAGCAGGGGATAATATTCAAGGTAAGAAAACGGTTTGAATTAACCTCACATCTTCACGATGAATATTTTCTTTTGACAATAATTTTTTGAAACATATCTTAAAGAATCATTTCAAAAGAGTGGATTGTGGTTTTAAGTACGACTACCTATAAACATTACAGATCATTATATGCATGAATCTTAAAAAAACATCTTTAGAAAGCAAAAGCAGCATATAACCCTGTGGTGAAGCAAGTTCTCCTGCTAAAGTTGATTCTCAGCACTTCCAGTTGGAGGGATCAGATCATTCTCTCCTTATTTGGGAAGTCATCATCATGCAGTCATAACACATGTTAACAAGAGATTTTTCCTGATATATATGACTAGGAACTGTCCAGCTAAATAAAATGTACTAACTCAAATTTTACCAGTCTTCATTGCTCCTGGAACTTTTAAAGAAATTAGAGGTGGTCATGGAGAATTCAGCTGTCTTGACTATTACTAATTACTTTGTATTACTAATTTTTTTTACCAGGGTGTTTACCCCCACATGTTTGTGACCATAAATGTAAAAGTGGCCATTTTTTCACTTAAATGCTAATGGATTTGCCAGGTTTAATCGTCACATTTTATTTTTCAGTCAACACAACAGTACTAACAAGTGAAGGTTAAACCGTATTTAAAGTCACTCTTAGATAAAAATAAATACACATCTGCTGCAGTCCTTCAAATTTTATCAAATGCGTAAGAATATAACAGTTTAACACTTGCTTATACAATCCACTAGGAGCTACGATTGCAGAACTGTTACGAATGATATGAAATGGTGTCTCCCTTTGCTATTTTTAGTATTGCTTCATTTTAACTGTCGTGGGAAACATGTTCAACTAATAATTTGAAGATACAAGAAATTCAATCACATCAAAGACATATTTCCATTGCCTTACTGGGTGTTGGCTGATTCTTCCCACTGTGTTAAAGGCTATATAATTTCATTACTAATTACTTTTCTCATCCTTCACAGATACAGCTTCTCCAAAGAACAGATATGTTTATATTCTGCCCGCCACAACCGACATCAGGATAGTTCATCATTTCAGAATTCTGCTGACACCTGCTGATTGACGATAACTCACCGATCTTTGCTCACATGCAGTATACGCTGTGATTTTTCACAACAAGAAGTAAATGTTTCCTGTTGTCTTAAGTGACAAGCATACTCTTTCTCTCTTATATTGCTGGTTCAAAAATATGTAGTCCATAAACCAGTAACACGTCCCCAGTCCAATTAATGTCAGAGGTGGGAAAATTTCTTGACTACTTTCTTTTCTGTGCTGTACCAAAGCACCTTTAGTGTCGCAGCTACAGCTACAAACTAAACCCACAGTTGCCTATGCTTACTATAATTTATAACGAATGGCAGGGAAAGTATTGATAAAACTTGCATAAAAGCTTGAGCTAGGAAACACATACTGATGGCAGGTTTGCCTTTCCTGTTTTTTTCCTAACTCCTGTAAAGATCTTCCCAGTGCAATCTTTTCTGTTCCTTAGGACTGATCTGCTCTGTCTCTCTGTGACCATCTCCTTTTAGTAAGTGATATCACACAATCTCATACTACGACTAAAGGGAAGGAAAACAGACTGGTCAGGGGCCTTCTTTAGCCCTCACCAGCGCCCATGAAAGGCCACTGCCCATTAATCTCTCACCGCCTGACAGCCTCAAGAGACAGGTCAGACCCAAGCAGACAGTATGTTTGTACTTGTCTCTGACAGCTGCCTTCTGCTTTCCCTCTCTAATATCCTGGTTTTGTCACCCTTTCCCACTTGCAGCTACCTCTAATCCCTTCTTCCTCCCACCGCCCCCCTGCACTAGCACTCTTCTTTCCTCTGCTCCATATGTATGTCTTGACCCTGTTTGCACCCATCTGGTCTTCCTGGTTCATGCCTCTTCACGCTGAGGCAAGGTCCCATCTGCAGTGACTTAGGCCTTACATCTGCTACATGCTCTGTGGTTTGAGATCACTTTGTGTACAATTTGGTAGCTAAGGAGTACTTGCTAAAGTTAACGCATCCAGGTGAGATCCCATACGATGTATGCTCTTTCCCAGCATGCATTGTTTGCCAGAGCTGTAAAAATAAAGCCATTTCATGCTATGTATTTATGTACATAACTAAATAATAGGCATATATTTTTTTTCTTTGCTTCTTAAAGCTCTCTGATGATGTCAGATAGTATATTTTTAGTGATGACGGACTGCCAGTGGCCCCATTGGAAAATATTTTCCCAGAATAGTGAACAAGCTCCTTCATTATTGCAAAAAGTATTACATGAATAGCTTTATCTGATCAAATGGAAGAAGTTCAAAGCAGATATGTGTACTACACTATGTATGTTCACACACAGTTGATATACTCATGCCAATTGAAACTATTAATAGTCTAAAATACCCTAAATCAAAGCAAGATAACCAAAATAACCACATTTGTCACCTATCATCTTCAGAGAGGAGAGAAATGGTGCCACAGAAGCTCAGCTACCCCTTTTAGCTCCCATGCTCTGCCATGAAATGCAAATATTCAGGTATACGAATAATTCCCCGGAAAATAATTTCTCTCAAATGCAACCGGTCATACTCTTAATTTTGGGCTAGACTAGTACGTAAACAGGCCTCAAATGATTTGTAATTAGAAGAAACTGGTCATGCATGCGTCTGACAAATTTTCTGTAGCATTAAAACGATCAGGGTAGTTTTACTAAAAGTTAATACATTGGAACCAATTGGAAGCAGAATCGAGAGTAGAAAGCTTTATAATACCCTGTTAAGTTCTGCTTTCAACATTATCTTAACTGTGTACAGCCAATGCCAAGGATGCACATAGCTTAGCTGCTTACAAAACAAAATGAATTATATCTTGGCTTGTATATCCTGTGAATATGGCACGTAAAAATGTTATAAAAACAAATATTTGAAAGCCTTGCCAAGCAAAATTGCAACCTATTGCCATTTGCCAGAATACACTGTTATTTTAAAATAAAGTTTCAGTGAAATTTTCAAATCTGCTCAATAACAGGCTGCTAGAGTTTGGGGGGTTTAGAAAGTAAAACCACTCTTCTCAATTTACAGTGGTAGTTCATTAATTCTAAAAATTTCCTTTTAGAATGCAATTCCAATCCACCGATCTCTGGAATTCCTTTTGAGGCTTTATATACCTTTTCATCTCTGATATACAGAATAAGTCTCAGAGATGTGCAAGGATTCCTGAGCAACCCTTCGGTGCTTCCCTGCTTTGGCTGGACTGTCAGATCCTACACAACTGCCACATAATACGCACTAAAGAATTGTTTTTCAGTTGAATAGGACAGAATTGAAGTATATCTTTTAAATCAGTCTTCCTCCCTCTTCTATAACCACTAAAGAAAATAAGAGTTCATGTCAGAATTCAAAGACTGCAATAGGCAGTCTGCCCATGCAAATAACAACAAACTCACCCATTCCAGTAATTCTTCCCTATATATTACCCCAACTAGGCCACCAGCAAACCCTCCACATAACCACATTTCCTCTATGGGATTACTGCAGGGAGATATGATATACTTCACACTTGGAACTGAATATACTGTGCTGCGCATCTAGTTACTTGGCAATGAAGGACTCAAGGGCTGAAGTAGCAACTGAATCCCGACTTTCTGTGAGACAGTGGCTATGTCTATGTTATCAAATGGCATGGACATAAACTGTAAATCTAGCATGTAAAACAGTCGGTACTGAACACATATACTGCATATTTCGTCCAAATTTTGCGGGGGTTACTTTGGACTGCCTCTGGCCACAGATCATATGCCTATCAGTAGCTGGAGCACATTTTTGGTTTAATTTAATGTGAAAGTAATGCAGCTTATGTACTTGAAGGTGGCTTTGTGACGGGAATCAAAAATCACTAATTGGGAAAAAGTAAGCTATTTACTCCAAAAGTTGCTCCTGATACCAACTAAAATGCTAATGCAAATGAACCCAATGCAAGCCTTTTTTATTAGGCCACTATGTCAGAGCATAGATGCAGAGCACAGGACAAAATGCTGTTTGAATAATTAATAATGTCAAACACTGAAAATCAGAACACAGTAGCTAGTTCTCAAAGATCCCAAAATCAGTGCAGTGATTTGCATCTATCAGACTGCTGCAACACATGTTGAGACCACAAGTGAGAGCTGGAAGTGCTCTGTACTCATTTTGCAAATCTCTTACTCACTAAACAAGGCACAGCTTAATAAAGATGAGTGTCAGTAACATTAAGATGAAGACTGAGTAAGAATGAGCTCATTAAACACATGAAGAATAGGACATGGATATTCATAGATGCACGTGCTCCAGTAGCATGTGGGGACAAGTCTAGGAAGCTCTTGTTACTGATGAAAGAAGAATTGAGTTGTAAAGGCTTCCTCCTCATGGACAGAAGACAAAGAAAAAGCAGCATAAGGCTACAGAGCAGAGAGCTTGGTAGCAGAAGGAAAATCCTTCTTACCCTTCTTTCCTGCTCATAGAAGCGAGGGAAAAGAATCACTATTAAAACCACACTGGAGCCACACTGAAAAGAAGGGGTATAAAACCAACTTTGTTGCTATTTATTTCTTATAAAATTTATATCAAACATCATTTTTAAGGAGAAGTGTTGAGCGACTGCAAACATTAACACTACGCTTGCTGTAATTATCACTCGTGTCACTATGTAGGTGAAACCTAAACTCCCATACCATTCACCTCTCCCAATTATGGGCTTTGAAAGACATTATATGGCTTTTTATATTAGCAATAATGATCTTAAAAGAAAAGATCCCCCAGCAATTACATTTTAAAAAGTACAAAATGGGGGAAAATATTGCAAAGGAAAAAGTGTCAATATCTCTAATTTTTGTGAATGTTGTTCGCTTTCAAGGTGGGAATGCAGATGTTGCAGCGAAAAAAAACAACCACCTTTTGAAAGAACTGTAAATAATTTGACTGTAAGACAAAGTGGTTGGATAAGAAATAGAAACTAAACCTTCAGTTCAAATCTGATGGGAAGGCCTGAGGTAAATGTCTTTGAATACAGCTTTCCGAGCTTGAGAAATTTTATGCCAGTTTGTTTTTATGAGATCCACATGGAATCAAAAGTCTTAAGAGATAAATGAAGGCTTTTTGGACTTACTGGACACACAGCAATGCTCTGCTCCCACTGACTCATGCTCAGACTTTCTTCCAGTGTTGTGCATTTCTTCATCACCATGTCCCAGCCACAGTAAGGATCTTGGGATCCAATGCACGCACTGTGAATGAAAACCAGTCAGACAACATGAACATTTATTCTTGTCTGTACAGGCCCAAAGGTCTCCCAGTAACTACATGACGTCTCTTCATATTTCATAGACCTAACGCATATAGTGAAAAGGATCCCTGTTACGGTGTGCCACAGATGAAATGACAAAGTAGTAAATAGAGAAAAATGAATATGAATGCCTACACAAAGGTAGAATCTAAGTGCATAACTGAATTTCCACGTGTATGAACGGTATGTAGTCAAAATCTAATACTGTACTTAATTGCTGCAGAACTACAGCTGTAGAACTTAACTGCTACAGAACTACAGCAATTCATAAAGAACATACGTTGTCTGCTGCAAGTAAGGAATTCAGAAGTTGTAACTCCTATGCTTTTCTATGAGCTTTGGAATTTCAGTTATCATATTTGTCAGAAATCTGATGAAAATGAATCAGGAATCCCTCTATAGTAGCAGACATTTGTTTTTTGCACTGCTATAGAATCCCTGGAAGAAAGTACAAGGCGGTGCTACTGGCTCTTATTAGGCAGAACATAGGGACATCGGATTTTGGCATCAAGAAACGTACATGCATAGTGTATTTACACGTAACAGAGGAAGCTAGTAATGCTTCCTATATTCAGCTTGTATTATACATGCAACTGTAAGAGATTTGTGCAGCCTATTATGAAGGCATTTTAACACTTCCAAAGTTTGAGTCAAGCCTTTGAAATTTGTCAGGACATAACCCTCTGGCCAACCCTTTCCTCACTGCCTGAAATTCTCCTCAGATATATCTGAGTTATAGGCTGTTGAAAGCTGTCATTTTCCTTCCTTTGCTTGTTTTTGATCTGGATAATTCTGCAGCATTTTATTAAAATGATTCCTTAATAGTACATTCAAAACCCGGACCCACATATTTGCCAAAGCAGCAAAAGTTACTGCACTAGGATTATCTGGAGGATACTGAAAGTGGTACAGGGGATGAAAGCATCACAAGCTGGATTCACTCAGAAGACAGGCTGCCATCAGTCTTAGATCTCACACACTGCCCTAGACGTTCCCTCCTAGTGGCACAGGAGGTGGAGAAAAGGTTAGAGAGAAGAATGGTAGTCCAGCTCCCTGCAGACTCTGAAAGACCCCGTCCCTAAGACTAGAAGCCCTCCTTCTCTATTAAACGACAGCTTTCTTTGGCTACTGAGAGATAAAGTGTTAACAGTCCAAGCAGCTGTGAAGTTTCACAATTTCAGATATGTAGAAAGGACACGGCATAATATAATTATGGAACATAATATAATTCTTTTAATATTTGTCGATGTAAAAATACCTGCAAATTACACACGCAGACACTAAAATGCATTCTCTTTTTAATTACTGGTTCACATTACAGTCCGCACAGATCCTGCTTCCTTCATATTTCTATTACTCTTTGGCATTCCCCTATAGTTCCACACCAACCTGGCTGCCAAATTCATATAAGTAAGGAAACTTGAAAATTAGATACTACTATGCATATTTATCCCCTTGCCCTTCGCAAAACCCTGTGGCAGTTAAAACCATTTTAGATGATACTGTTAGAACATTACATAATTTTTAAAATTAGAATTATGTCTCTCAGCTGACAGAAAGACTCTTTCAAATAGTGACAGAGGAACTGGCAGAACTGGGTAATATATTAGCTATCTTGTCTCTGGAAGTCTGTCTGACATTTCAGTTTCATCAGAGATGAAAATGAATGTGTTGTTTGTTACTCCCAGTAGGCATCGGCCCACATCTCTAACATCTGACATGATTTGTGCCTGGTCTGCTACAACCAGCAATTTGGTGCCATAAGGAAACCCAGGGATAAGGCTGAATTGGCTCATGCTAAGACTCTTGACAGAGCTTGCACTAGTGAGTAGGTTCCCTCTACAAAATCTTTCTACACGTTTTGGCTTCCACTGCTTGATTCCAGGTTTCCTCTATGTTATCCTTTTCCATTTGTTACCACAAGTAAGTGATAGGTAGTTGAGTGTCTCTTCTGCAAGGCATTCATTTGGCTGTGAAGGTTCAGTACGTCTCCTGACAGTCATGCAACAATTAAACACTGGATTTTTACTGACTAGTAACAGAAACGTAAGTTACACTCCTCTAAAGTAGGCTAGCAAGAGCAGGCTATTTTCCCCAGCTATTTTATAACTGTCACCAAGCAGGCTAGCAAAACTGCTCTACCTCAGTAATATCTGAAGTGACTTATTCAGACAGAAAATGAGGCACAAATATGAACGGCATTCAGAGCAAAGCATATAAAAAACCATACAACCGAAAAAAATTCATTAGGCATGCTACAAATAATGAAAAAAAAATTTAAGAATAAAAGCTACATCCTGATACTATTCATTTCAATGAGACTTTTACAATTCATTTCAGTGGGAGGATGTAGTCCTACATTAATATATATTTTTAAGTGCTCATCTGATATCTCTTTGAGCTGTAACATTTTGTTGAAGGAATGCATACGTACAGGAAGTGCATCTTCTGAGACTGTCCAGTGAAACATTCTTCTGTCTTTACCTAGCCAAGGTATTTTGATGATCAGAAGTTACTTCAGTCTTCTGACCCTGTCATACTTTTCTACTGAGATAGCTCTGCCTACCTAGTTCCATCTACTGTCAGCTGTGACCTGTACATTTGTATATTAGGAACTGAACTGAGGTCACCGTCTTACTTCACGTAAAGCAAATTCCTCACTGCAAGTTTGAACAGGGAACTTAAGATAAAAGACTGCCTCACGTTCCAAAACCACTGGGCCATCCATGCCTGAATGAATACGTGAACCTGATACGTGACTTCTATAAACAGATACCTGTCAGTGTACTCATTATTACTGGTTTAGCACATATATACGCAATGAAGAAGTGGCATCTAAAGATAGAGGCGACTGATGCAGAAGAACATAAATGTAGGCATACAATTTACAGGGTCCAATGAGCTCAAACTGAGATGCGTAGCAAATATTCAGGATCCTGCCTAACTCTTCCCTAGAACGATAAGAAAAATCAAAGCCTTTAATCACCTCAGACATTCTCTGTGGGACTACTATTGCTTCCTACTACTTCAATTTCTTTAAGACAATCAGAATAGATCTAGGTATGATTCAATGTAGCAGCATGCACTGACAATACTAGCCTAAAATCTACAGGCTGCTTTCTTCAAAGCCAGAACCAGGGATTTATGTATTATTTATTTAGTGAAGTGTTTATAACTCACGGTTCTTTGAATACAGATGCCTTCAAGTCGCTCTACTGTGGTTCTGGGAACAAATGTGAAAAATAACTTTCAGAGAGCTCTCTCTACGAGAGAATGCCGGCCATTCATTGTAAAGAATTAAGAGCTAAGGGATCCCAGGTCCCCATCCCTGGTCAATCAGCCAAGACAGCTTCCAGCCCTCTGATTAGGAGGCAGGAGGCAGGGAATGAGCCAGGGTCTTCAGAGCACTGAAGGCTCCCCTTTGATGGGCTAAAACTACAGCCTGCAAATCTGCAGTTGGCAAATAGGCCCTGAAACTCTACAGAGCGAGGCTACCTCAGAGGGTCAGATCTGGGGATTCTCCTACAAGTTCATGCGAGAAAATTAAACGCCACTTTTGAAAATCCTACGTGTCTTTAATAATAAAAACGACCCTACACTGAGAGATGTATAAACTGAGGGGGTGTGCGTGTGTATAAAATACATCTATCTGTCTATCTATCTAGGTATGTAAACTGTAAGTCATATATAATGCAAATTAAAAAGTCAAAGCTCAGAGCTCACCATAAAGTCAGCCAAGAAATACGGTCAATTCATCTTATCAATGTTATTTTTAAATTTTAATTCCTACAGAATAATTTCCATCATAAAAATATTTTGAAATTAAATAGGAGGAGGCAGATAACAACTTCCTCTTTCGGTTCTGCTGGTTTTCCAAGCCTGAAAACACTCACAGACACAACTCCTTTGGATCTCATAAACATTTACTCACTCATGAAAGACCTGGATCAAATCACTGTTGAAAACTGCTACTGTTGAGTGGAATTTATGCTGGGAAACAGATATGTAAGTCATGAAGACAGAGCGTCTATGTTTGAAACATCATTAGAGTGACTGTGACACAGTTTAAGTGGATGGGATATTTGCTATGCCTTGTTAACACCAGAACTTGCCAATATGCTATATTTCTGCATTCTTCTTGCCTACAACAATTTAGATACCAGGCTGATTAAGTCTACTATGCTTGACTACTATACGGATACATCTACATACAAACAGCTAAGAATTTGCACAAAATGCTAATAGTTAAGTATGGCCTGCGGTTCTCACTTGTCTCCTTCATGACAGCTAACAGAAAACAGAGATTTGGTCAAGAGGAAGAGAACTTTACTTGTTTCACATACTTGCGCTGTAATCGATGCAAGCAGAGGTTTTGGCATCCAAAACCCCTCCCTAACATAACCCTTCCTCTCCTCCTTCTTCCAGACCCCCCACAGCTACCTCCTATGCATTCCTTCACCGGAGAGCTATCACCCCTTTTCCTGGACCAGAATAGCAACAATAGTGCTTGTCCAGTCTGGGACACATTTGTTTCCATACGGCATCCCTACGTCTTTAAAAGACCTGTCCATCTTTAGCAGGCAGAAACGTAGAGGTAAACAGGGTACACAACTTCCATATCCTTTCAGTCAGCTGTGACCTACTTTCTTTTAAAAGTAAAATTTGGAGCTGAACTTTATACTAGAATAAGAACCCTCAGTTATGAAGATAAGAGGCCCAGATTTGGGATGTACAAGTTCACTCTTTAAAAGTCCTAACCAGATTACAGGCATCTCATTCCAAAAGCAATTGCATATACTTCTACTGGCCTGGAAACAGATGGCCTTCAAAGACATTCAGTTTGGGTTCCCAGCACTGTAGCATCTAAAACCCCTTCCTGGAATCCTGGCCACAGTTCATACAGTCACATCAAGAAGGCGCTCTCTCTCTCTCCTACATTCA